GGCCCTCTTTTCTTCGGCCTGCTTGTGAATTAATGCTACTTGGTTCTTCATTTTCTCTGCATATTCTGCCTTCTTCTTCTCCAGCTCTTCCTGCAAGAATATGTGGAGTAACTAAAAATTGACCTCCGGTTCAGTCTAAATAAACGAAACAAATGTTCCATCGAAAATTGATAAGCTCATCCTGATATTTGTTTGTAAATGAACACCTCTTAAAAGGGGCTATTTGGTTTATTTATTCACCAAAAATACACATGACAAACATTCATCACTTCCCGAATTATAATATTTACCAAAATCCATGATTCAGTAAGCTAGATGGTAATCCAATCTGATGAAGTTGATTAACTCTTGGTTTAGTATGTTTGTTCAAAAATATGATTGGTTTTTGGGAAAAAAATAGGCCACCGCCTTCAATAAAAGTAGCTCAAGATATAAATGAAGGACGAGTGATTACCTGGATTTTCTTTAATTTGCCCTCAATAGAAGCCTGTTTGGTGTTTTCCCAAGCAGCAACATCAGCAAGCTTCTTTTGGGCCCTGTCCCAAAGATTAACATGTTAAGAGAGCAAAAACTAAATTCGTAAATGCCAATGAATTGTAACAATTGTTTCAATGGACGATGAATAATAAAAATCAGCCAATGGAGATCTTCTCGGGCTGTACCCGACCAAGCTGCACTACTGATGACACATTAAAATCATAAAGATCAAAATCACTTTCTATTTTCCATATTCATTTACAGGTTGCAAGATCATAATGTGATTGTTGCGAAAGAAAGTCAATCACGAATGAGCGAAATGAAGACTCACTTGTTATCCACTTTGGTCTTTTCGCTTTCTTCCCATGCCTTGATGAAAGACCACCTCTTTTCATCCTCAAGCTTTGCAAGAGCTACATCTGTACGCGAAAATCAAACCGACACTTTGTCATTTCGCACACATGTTTCACTTATTCTAGACCATATGTCCAATGTGGATTGCTTATGCAAAACATTCTAGTCCAAGTTCAGTGAATAAGTTGTAAACACCCGACAATATCGAATCGTAATATGAACATGAAAACCAAGTTATTGATGTCCTAACTACGGAAGATCTGATTCTTACTAAACACCACTAAAAGTTCACATTTTTTTCCAACTATAATTTTTGGAATCCACCTTTTTGCTCCTTATATTTTGCAAGGGTCCCCTTAATATGACTACTGAAATAAATCAACTCGTCCTTTGCGATAACATAGATTCCAATACAATAGACAATACATCAGAATTCGATTTTTTGTTTCTGTTTTCCAAAAGGGTACTAATTAATACTCAGAAAAATTTCATGAACAAAAGTACCTCTATCAAGAGATCCTTTAGAGGTCGTCTGCTCGCCGGGCTCTGGGACCTCTGCAACATAACAAAGACAAAGAATATGAATAAGATATTCCCAAAAAGAAAATTTAAAAATCAATCGAGAAAAAATTAGACCAAATCATATGAAATTCAGATAATATTTTAAAAATTACTCGCAAGAGCCTTGGCATCGTCCTGCTGCGGCGGAGCAACCGCCGGCTTATCCACCACCGCCGCAAGCGGTGGCTCCTCAGCCTCGGGCTTCGTCGGCACAACTTCCACCGGCGCCTCTGTAGCCATATTTACGCACAGATACTTACAGTGCAGACCTCTCTCTCTCTCTCTCTCTCTCTCTCTCTCTCTCTGAGATAATTAGCTAAACACAGCTCACAGATGCTCCGAGATGGCCATAAGCTGGAAATTTTACTATTTATTATAATTTGGTCCTCCAAATAATGTGAGCAGGACAAGTGTGTGTACCGATCGTGTGTAGGGATGGGCAGCGATTCAGTGCAACGCCGGTGCAGGGTGGGTGTGGTGTGGCCAACTTCTTTTTATCCTTCTTTCACGGTTGATTTTGGATTTTTCACCTATTGTTGTATGAGGAGTTTATTTAAATTAGACAATATTGCTACTATTTATAATTACATAATTCTGATTTAATTACTACAATGGATTGAATTATTAAATTTAAATTTTTATTAGATAACTAATTTATTGATCAAATTTACAATAATGTATATATATATTTTTTTTCTGGATATTAAAAAAAGAATATTAACAATTTATGAAGGTAATTAATTAGTAGGTAAGAAAAGGATCGGGTGCAGAGAAAGATGTGTGTGGGTGAGATGTAGGATAGAGTCTCCCGTGTGCCGACAAGTTGAACACTAGTCGGTTAACCGACACGTGGAAACAGTAGGGCCCCACATTAAAATATCGGTTCATGATAACTTTACACATAACATGATGAGCTGTTGAATTTCATTTTATGGATTTATTATTAGGCTTACATTGGATACTAAAAATTTAAATAATATGTAATTTAATTGATTTTTTTTTATTTTTCTTAAATTTTTAATGTAGTTTATAAATTCAAATTTAATTTCATCCATACGTTTGTATATAAAACTACTTATATGTTTAATGTTTCACAGATTTATATCTGTTAATTATTATTTTATTTGTTAATACATTACAATTATTTTTTCCCCCATTGAAAATAATTTCACATTATAGAAGTTATTGATATTTTTTGTGCCAACCAGAGCCACGATTTTTATTTAATAAATAAAATTATTGTTTTCCATATGTAACCTTATTTTTCCAATATTTATCAGTATTTTAGAAACTATATATTTAAACATAAGATTTTATATGGATGGATATGTAGTGCAGCACATGTCAACCTTTGACCTTCACCTCATTTTTGGAAAACCGTGGGAAGTCTTTGTCCATAACCTAATTTAAAATGATATATCAATGTTTTTTTAGCATTTTTTAAATATATATATATATATATAATTATTAGCTGATACATTTAATAAAACTCATTTTCATTTTCCTTCAAAAGGAGTTACAATTTTTTAATTAATTACTCACTAATCTGATAAAATCGTTGTACCTTAATATATATATTTTTATTATTTATTTTTTGGATTAGTTACTAAATTATTCTAAATTTTGTAGCAAAATATTCAAATGTGTAACGACTAATGTTGAAATTTAAAGTTGATTGACACATTCAGAGATGTAACCGCTATATTTGGTTGCATTGTTGGAAAAAAAATGATTGGTACATATTTTTTTTTTTTCTAAAAATCAGAAACACCAATAATTTTGTTATTTATGTTAATTTTATTAATATATGCCACAAATATATAAAAATTATTTTATTCATGTTACTACTGTAAACGTTGCATGGTTAAAATAAAATTCAAATCTCAATTAATTTTGAATGATAAAAATAACTTAAGAAAAAAGTAATATTTTTTTTATGATAGAAGTATATATTTAATTAATAAATACAAACAAAAACGTGTTTTATATTTGTGCAAATACACACGACCAAATACTAGTTTAATTAATAAACATAGGTATAAATTTGGGTCACATTTGAATTTGGGTCAAAGAAATATTAGCCCAACCATAATATGGACTGGACTAGGCATCAAGGACTAAACGGGATTTTAAGCCCAATATATATTTACAGGCCCCATTCCAAAAGTCGAATACTTAACATTTCGAAACGGGGTCGTATCGATGTTCATCTCAAATGGCTTCCCTCTCTGAAACAACCAGGCCACCGTCACAGGGGGCGAGGCCGTGCCCGCCGGAGAACTCGTCGGGAAATCAATGGGGAGAGAAAGTGTCTTCAGCGGTGATGTCCGCTTACAAGTCCCTTCCCAAGAAGGGGAAGCCTCAAGGCCGCGAAGTCACTGTTTTAGCTGCTTTTCTCATCTCAAACCCTTCCCAGGGTTAGTAGCTTCAGAATTATCACTCCGACTCTCCTGATACTCCATTAATTGTCCTTTTTTTTTTTCTTATTATTCTTTTTTTTTTTTACAGATTTGCAAGTGGTAGCTCTGGGGACCGGCACGAAATGCATAGGGCGTTCGCGTCGGACCTCCGGCGGCGACGTAGTGAACGATTCTCATGCGGAGGTCATCGCGAGAAGATCCCTTCTCAGGTTTAGGATTCACGAATTCATTTTTTCTCATAGAATTTGTGATTTTACGGACATATTCATGAACATCGTAGTGTTTGATTTTGACCTAATAAACTTGATTGAAACTTACCAGGTACTTTTACACAGAGATTGAGTGTATAATGAAACGGTATTCAACGAGTAGACATACTAATGGAAGTTTGGTGGACATGAATAGCTGCATTTTCCATTTGAGCTCGGATAAACCAGGCCAATGGAAATTCAAGTTGTTACCTGGATTGCAGTTGCATTTGTACGTATCGCAATTGCCGTGTATGTGTATATAGATAATTCACATGTGATTTCTTTCTACATGGTTTTAGTCGACTATTGATATTTTAATGCATGATTTCTGTTTAATTTCAATAGGCGGAGATTCATCACTAAGTTCTCAGCTTTTCACACCTTTAACCACTGGTTCGCCCGAAAATTGGAATTCAGAACATGTTTATTTGGAACATTCTGCAGCCCCAAACGGTAACTTCATTTTATTTTGCTTAAGTTATGGTCTACTTGTTTTGCTGAATGTCTTGCCGCTCCTATTTACCAGCTCTTTTGGTGAAATACAATGCTTCGTAAAACGCAAATATGGAACCTGACTTGTATTCCGTTAACTTTTGGTTTTCATGTATTTATCTCCCGGTACTTTTTGTCAAGGTAATGGAACAGTTCACAGGAAGCCCGGCCGAGGAGATACAACTTTGTCTGTAAGTTGCTCTGATAAAATTGCTCGTTGGAATGCTGTTGGAGTTCAAGGTTCACATTTAGTTTGTAATAATGTTTTTATGTATTAAAGTTAGGATAGGAAAATTATGACTTACGAATATGTGATACTTTGGTTGTGTGTCTGATGAAGCTTGAAAGTTGGCCATATATGGTAGATCCGTGCATTGCATTGCATTCCATACAGTGTATTCTGATAAGTGATAGTTCACAATTCCTGTTATTTTGCTAGTTTCATATGTTGAAAAATGAAAAGTGACTTGTTTGTTTTTGTATTTATGCCCGATGTACTTGAAGAATATGATTCTAGAAATTGGAATAATTTGTGATGTAATTACTGGAATTTGGAAAAGAAATGATTTTTACTTGTACATTCTAATTCTTTTTTTTTTTTTTTTTTTCTGTAAAGGGTCTCTACTTTCTTTCTTTCTGGAGCCAGTATATACCTCCTCTATAACTGTGGGTCAGTCGCATTCCAATCCTGCAAATGTTGTGATCGATCGACTTAGAAGATCTCTACATGAGCGGATTGTAACTTTGTCTGACAAACTGACAGAACCCTTTCATGTGAATAAGGTTATAATATATATTATTCCTCCTGTTGTCACTTGTCAGAGTACTATTATAATAAATATTTGATAACAATCAATACTTCTATTACAAGTGACAGCCATTACTTTGGGCAGCTCCAGTGCCACCTGAGGAATTTCAGCATTCAGAAACCGCTCTTGAAACCTTAACTTGCGGGTGAATTTATTCAAGCGCGATAAACAATATTGAAAACTTTTTTTTTTTATTTTCGTGCTCCAATATTTTGAAGTTGTATTTTGTTAATTTCATGATTTTCAGGTATTCAATATGCTGGAATAGACACGGATTGCACGAGGTTGTGCTTGGAACAACTGGTAGAAAGCAAGGAACCTCTGCAAAAGGTGCATTGTCTCCATCTACAGAGTCATCTCTATGCAAGTACGAGCAGTTAACATCTATGTGATTACCAACAAGAATTATATTTGCTTCATGTTGACTATTTAAACATTAGACAATTTATTAGTTAGATCCTATCTACTGAAATTAATAATAGAAACGTTCCATTAAATCATTTGTCCTTAGGAAGCGCTTGTTGGAATCTTTTATGTCGCTCGAGAAAAATTGTCCAATGGAATGCTGCGTCAATGAGATCACATACTATGAACTTAAGGTAGTAATAATTTATATGTTGACAGCTGTATACGTATGTATCGGTGAATTTTCTCTAAGCATATTGCTAGCTGAAATTACGAGAGCTGTATTCTGTCTAAAAGCATATGGTACTATCTGAAATTGTCTTTGCGAGTAAATATAGATTATTTCCTGACACATTATGTTATGAAATTGAGATTTCACAAGACCTCGTGAAAGTACATTATACTGTTCGTCCACTGCATAATTATATTGTCTTGCTTTTTATATATTACTAATCTCCAGCCACTAATTATTAACCCTACATATATTTATTACTTTATTATGAATTGTTATATGATCTTTCAATCACAGGGAAGGGTCGAGGGGTACTCTATGGCTTCAAAGGCCTTTAAGGGAAGCCCACATTTTAGAAACTGGCTTTTGAAGCCTCAAAACAACGAGTCCTTTTCTTACAAGATACATTAGAGCGAGCCATGTGAGCTTCTCAACTGAGATTATCGACTTCTTGCCATTGCCACAACTGGAAATAACATGTTTTTGTACATTTTTACTTTCCTCTGATTGCCATACACACTAGTTTTTCATGTGTAGCATCACTTTTTTATTGCTTCATGTTCACAGCAGCACTTTGCATATGACTTTGAGACGGAACAATGTTTTTCAACACCAGAATTTTGGGCTAATTCACATGTTCTCCCACTTGCTTCACTATCACTTGATTTTCCATGTTTTGAGGATTTTTTTAGGAAATCTATGTTTTTTTTTTCGTTTTTCAATTATTTGATTTCCGATTTTTTTAATTTATATATATATATATATATATATATATTTTCAGATTGTGGTTGTGTAATTTTATTATTTCCAATTACAAATATTCAAGGACATTTATTTATATTTTGTGAAATATTGCACCCTCTTTGGCATGCTCCATTTTGTAGTTTTAAATGATTATGTTATTATAATGAGCAGGATAAATATTAAACACAAGTTGCTTTTTGTACTTTAATCCTTTATAAAAGTAGGTTAAACACATGTATATGTATCTATACGGGCAAACTTATTTTATAAAAGTATATATCAATACCTTTTCAAATTTCAAGCATATAATATTATAATTCTATTTCATCCACATGGTCGTATTTTTATACCGTTTAAATTAAATTAAATTTGTCTCTTAGTAAATTTCATATACATAATATTATAATAGTATATGATTATATTTTATACCTTTTAAATTTACTTTTATATTTCATGTACATAATATTATAAAATAATTTCATGCATACTATTATATACTTTTTTCAAATTTCTTATACATGTAACACTATAATTCTCTGTGTGATCAAGTTAATTGGACATCTAGCACAAGCCTTGACCATTCATTAAAGAGAGTACAAAAATATACAGATTTTGCAATTTTCCACCCCACAAACTATTTTACATAATAATTAAATCACCCCATTTTTTTTAAGAAATGACAGCTAATTACCCTTTCTATAAGTTTGACTTCTTCCCAAAACTTTGTATTGGGTAAAAAAAAAATAAAAAAAATAAAAATAAAAAGTTGTATTTTTACACCTTCATAACATAACACTCACCAAAGACTTCTTGAAAAAGGAAGAAGAAGACATGAAAATGCATAATGAAGAGAAGTTGATGAAGGTCTTTTGGCTTAGGCCAGCTTTCCACAAACATTCAATAGGGTCCAAGCTCTTCAGATCATTCAAATATGGCGGATCATCATGGTCGTCATCTTTAACAAAATTTACGCTTCTCGTTTTCTTTGTCATCCTTATAATCTCCGTGCTCGTCTTTCAAGGGTGGATCGATTTCGTAAGTTTTCTTCAAATTAAAGCCTTTTCTTTTTTTTTTGTGTGTGTGGCAAAATTTGCATAAATCAAGAGTTCATTTCTTTGTGTCTGTGTTTACAGTAAAGAGCCTTAAGAGGTTTTCCACATGAATGTGATTATTATTTTTTAAATAACACGAATGATGTAACTTAATTGTTTTTTTTTTTTTTTTTGTAGACTGAAATAATTTTTTGTTGGCTCAATCTGCATATATAGGAAATTTATTTATTGTTACCAGCTATCATAAAGATTTTTGCACGCGCATTTGATGTATAGAAACTTTGAAAAGATTTTCTTTTTTCGTAATATTAAGAAGTAGTACTTATTTAATTTTCCATATCTATTGATTTTAGCATTCAATACTTAATGATATTGGAAATAAATTATGGATACTAATATATCTACCATTATGTCTAAGAGCTATTAAACGAAACAAACTGCTGGTAAGCTCGGCTAGAGCTCGTTTTAAGCTTGTTTAGTTAACAAAACGAGCCGAGCTCTGCTCGTTAACTTTTATATATTTTTGAATAGCTTCATGACTTGTTAAAACTCGAATTAGGCTTATTAATAATATTAATATTGGAATCAATTTCAGAGCCCGAACTCGAGTGTAGAAGCTCGATTCGGGCTCACTTGTCACTGTTGTATTTGTGGTCCTGTTTGACGCAATTCTCAATATTTAGGGGTTGACTTAAAAACTTTAATACAAATTCTTTAATTACAAATTATACAACGCGAAGCTATTAAAATATTTGGAAATATTTAGACCTAAATAATTTAAAACATAAGAACGATAACTACTTATCCATTATTTTTAATTAATGGAAAGTATAAAATTAATTAATCAATTAACACCCTTTCAACAATCTTGTGCTTGAACCTTGAAAGCCAAGTAATAATTTAGAAGAGATTAATCAATACCATGCGTAGCATGAGTTTGTAATATAAATAAATAAATATTAAGAATTTCATTAATCTCTACTTTTAATATTTATTTATTCATTCTATCAATCATTAATGACATTTTATTTTATCTCGTCTCGGTGTCAAAATTAAGAATTATTCGCTCGCTCCTAAATTTTTAGTTTTCTTTCGAGATGATATCGGCATCTCGATTTGTTAATTCTCTTACGTTACAAATTTCTCAATGTAAATTATTATAATATTTAAAATAATGAATATAAGTATAAGTTGAATTTCTTAATATACTTTTCATCAGTAATAATTGTACCAATTTCTATTAAAAAAGTTCAGGGTAAATACGCTGCGTACCACTTGTCCCAAAAAGCCCTCCCAGCCATCACCCAAAAACCCAGAAATGCCCTCGAGTTTCCCCTGGACTGCACCGCATGGAATAACAGCCGCACCTGCCCCAGAAACTACCCGAAATCATCACCGCCGCTCGACCCGTCGCCGGGATCCAGCTCAGCCTGCCCGGAGTATTTCCGATGGATCCACGAGGACCTGAAGCACTGGAAGAAAACCGGGATAACGAAGGAGATGGTGGAGAGAGCGCGACGGACGGCGCATTTCCGGCTGATAGTCTCCGACGGGAGGGTCTACGTGGAGATGTTCCGGCCGTCGATCCAGACGCGCGCGCTGTTCACGATGTGGGGGATTGTTCAGATGATGAGGTGGTACCCGGGGAGACTGCCTGACCTGGAGCTGATGTTCGATTGCGATGACAGGCCCGTCGTGGCGGCGAAGGATTTCCGGCGTCCGGGCTCAGGGCCGCCGCCGCTGTTCCGGTACTGTTCTGACTGGGCGAGCTTGGACATCGTATTCCCCGATTGGTCCTTTTGGGGCTGGTAAACATTTTGTTCTGTTCCTTTCTTTTTTCGGCTCATTTTCTCTTTATTTCGAAGGAAATTGAAGCTTCTTAGTATTGAAGAAACATGTTTTAATTTTTTGATTCTTGTATTTGAGTTGTCTGTTTTGTTTTCTGAAGAAAACAATTGAATAAAAGAAAACAACCCTAGGGAAGATCCTATTGAGAAAGCAAGATTGAGGTAGCCAGCTAACAATTGAACATGTTTTTAGAAATGGTTAATTGAAAAGCATTCCCTGAAGTTGATTGAAAACTGGGTTTAGTTTGTATAGCTGTTTGTTGAAAATAACAGTTGATGATAAGGATAGTCGAAAAGTCATCAATCGTAAAGCTTTTGCCGGTACTCCCTTGATTAAAGTTCAAGCCTTTTTGTTCATTGTTCTGATTTTTTCGAACATGGGAAATAATCTTGAAATTGTTCGTGTAGGGCTGAGACGAACATAAGGCCATGGAGAAGTGTGCTGAAGGACATAAAAGAAGGGAATGAGAGGACAAAATGGGAAGATAGAGTGCCATATGCTTACTGGAAAGGCAACCCGCACGTTTGCCCCTGGAGGGCTGACCTTATGAAGTGCAATGTGACTGACCAGAATGACTGGAATGCTCGACTTTATGTTCAGGTAAAAGCCCATAGAGATGTTAATTAGTGAAATCTTGTTGATTGTGTGTAATAATTTTGTGGGACTTGGCATTTGCATACAATGATTATAAATTTAATGTTGAGTCCTTCAAAGTTGAATTGAAGCCAAAAACTTCTGATGGATGTTTTTTTCTTGAAAAAAAAAACCGGTATTTGTTGTCGTTGAATGTTGTCCGTTCCTTTTTGTTTTCATGAATATCGACAATGATGAGTTGGTTTGGTTTCATTCTTAGTTGATCGGACAGATTTTGTGAAAGGATCTTTTATAATATTGAATTTGTTATTGGTAAATGCTTAATAAAACCCTCGTTGTTCAGGATTGGATTGCAGAGTTTCAAAAAGGATACAAGGGATCAAATCTTGGAGACCAGTGTACCCACAGGTTTTCGATAGAAATTAACCTTAAATTAACATATTTTATAATCATGCTCTTGGATTCGAAGAATCACCCAAAATTTGTCTATGTTGAGCTTATTCATAGTCCTCCAGAAGTATTCATTTGTGAAATTTGTTCGTATATGCAATTTTTAGGTACAAAATCTACATTGAAGGATGGGCTTGGTCCGTGAGCGAAAAATATATTTTAGCCTGTAATTCTCCCACCTTGCTAATGACTCCCCGGTGGTACGATTTCTTCATACGGGGAATGGTCCCTCAGCACCATTATTGGCCCGTTATGGACAACGACAAATGCAAGTCCCTAAAATATGCCGTTGAATGGGGAAACAATCACACCGAAAAGGTGAGAAAAAAAAAAAAAGACAAAAGAAGACTATCTCAAAGTTACTAAAATACTCCCAAGCTCTAACCTTAATCACACAACAATCTACTAAAATGGTCTATTTTTGTTATTTTTCGAAAGATAATTGGGTTTGTTTGTAAATAAAACAATACAATATTAAATTTGATGGTTGTTTGTAGGCAAAGGCAATTGGGGAAGCCGGGAGCCGATTTATCCACGAGGACATGAAAATGGAGTATGTTTATGATTACATGTTTCATTTGCTTAATGAATATGCAAAGCTCTTGAATTACAAGCCCAATGTGCCTCCGAATGCGGTGGAGCTTTGTTCGGAGTCAATGGCGTGCACTGCAAATGGGATTTGGAGGACTTTTATGGACGAATCTTTGGAAAAATCGCCAAGTGGCTCGGCTCCTTGCACGATGGTCCCACCTTACGAGCCTCGAGAGCTCAAGGCTTTTACTGATGAGAAGGCAAAAGCGACTGAAGAAGTTGAGACATGGGAGAAACAGTATTGGGACAAAAGAAACGAGAAGAGCTTATGAGGCTTTAACGAAAAATCGACTTCTTAGTCAGTGTGTTGTCAATTTTAGTAAGTATTCTTTTTTGTACATTTTGTTTTTTGGTGGAGACTCAATATGGGATGCTACAAATTATAGTCCATTTTAATGTACTAAGGTGTGTTACTTAGGAGTTAGGACCACCTGGTGAATGTGTGACCTTCACCTGACTGAATGAGTTCTTTATGATTCATAAACATTCATCTGATATCGATTTAGTTATCACATAATCGCGTTTTGGACAACTAATCCTGGAGTTAGCTTGGTTAAGCAGGCAATTTGAAAACAACAGTGCATAAATATAACTTACAGGAGCCAGTAGAGCCTGATAAAATATGTAGCTAATAGATAATATTTTATCCAAAATACAACACAACCAAACATAACAAAAGAACTGAGAGTTTTTATCCCTCCAATGGAAGTTACCAATCCTCAGGGTGAAGCTAAAAGCAGAACACCAGCAGAGGCCCTCTTACGATACACTAAAAAGAGCCAAGACAAGAAGACGAACAATTTATAAATATGGAAAAAGGAAACTTCAATAAGCTCTAGCTTTAAGGGTATCCCAGCTCATCTCACTAGGATCGGTCGCCTGTAACTCGACCTGAATGCCATCAAGCTCTCTCTTGAACCTGTCTTTCGAGCTTGCGTACAGCATTTTGGTCCTCACCTTTGCCGTGTCAGGTGACCTGAAAATCAAAGACAAACAAATAAATAAATAAATAAAAATAATTTACTTCGAATTATGACATTTCTCCATAGAAAGCACACATTTATTCAGAAAAAGTTGCGACTATCGAATAAAAAAAAAAAAGTGTACCACGCAATGAAGAAGATCTTGCTCTTGTGGCAATTTTCATCTGTGGTGAAATCATAGTCGAAGACCGCGTATCGGCAATCACCTTCCGGAAGGCTCCCAGCAAAATCCTCATAAGTCTCGGAAGCTGTGCCTGCTTTCTCGACCGTGACTTGCTGCATGACGTCATCAATCTTGAACACGATGTATCTATGGTTCCTCTTCGCCTTCAGCTCCAAGAATTTCATCTTGCACTCGTCACTCACCGCAATCCCGGATGCCGAATTTGCCTTTGTCCATGCAACATTAATCAATCAATCAATCAAACCAAATGCGAAATCATATGACAATAAGTTGATAACAAACATCAATGCACAACCAAAATATAGGAAATCACATATATAGTTGATGGAGTGAGATTTTTCTATTTCACTTTTGTGTTCTGTTTATATACACGTGCCATTCATCCAATGGAACGAAATACGAGATGAAACATGAAAATGGAACAGGAAATCTGATCACAATAGTTCATGATCATGCATGATACCTAAAAGATTATGATTCCATACAACCAATCTCCACACAAGAACATATATAAACAAAAGAAATTGAAGGATTATTAATATTGCAATCTATTATGCATGAGTTTTGCAGCTTACCATGTTGAGTTGACTTCTCTTAATGGGAAAAAAA